TAAATAAAATTCAGTGATAGTCTAATTTAATTCTTGAATATTGACATTTAAAAATATTAGCTCTTTAATTTTAAATATTTTTAATTTTTTCAAACATTTTTGATATAATTCGAATTATTTCGAATTATTTTGCACTTATAGTTCATAGTAATTTATTTAAATCTGTTTTATTCTTGAATATTGTCATTTAAAAATTTTAGCTTTTTAATTTTAAATATTTTTAATTTTTTCAAACATTTTTAATATAATTCGAATTATTTCAAATTATTTTGCTTGTATAGTTCATAGTAATTTATCTCAATCTGTTTCATTCTTGAATATTGTTGTTTAAAAATTTTAGCTCTTTATTTCAATTATTTTTAATTTTTTCGAACATTTTTAATATAATTCGAAATAATTCGAATTATTTTGCGCTTATTGTTCATATTAATTTATTTCAATCTGTTTCGAATTATTTCGAATTATTTTACATAAAATTGTGTAATTTCTTGCGTAATATTGCATAATAATCTTATATAATATTTCATAATTATATATTTCGCAATATTGTAAAAGTTATTATATAATATTACGGTTTTCTTATGCTTCGTAAATTATTGCGCAATATTACACTCTATTAAATTTGCTAATGTAAGAGCTTGTAAGCTTTTTTTAGATAAATGTATACACCTAGCTCAAACTGTATCACCTGCTTTAGAAAATACCTGTTCAGAGAGTATGAACATAGATTGAATAGCAAGATAATCTTTAGCCATTTTAGACAATTTAGAAAAATAAGTATAATTAAGCTTCCACTAGTTTAAAGAGTCAACTTCTATTGGTAAAACAGCTTTACTTAAATACTTAGTTAATTCATCCTTTTTATTGGTAAGCAAACTTAATTTTCATCTTTTTTAAGCAATTTTCTCTGTATATAATAATGGTGGTTTTAAATTTGTAAAGGAAGTTGAAAGTATAGAGGAAGTGAGAGAAGAGCTATTCAAAATAAGTTCAGAGTATTGTGTTCTAAAAATACTATTAAAAAGAGAACAATTTTCTTTAGTATTTATATCAACAGATATTAATTCTAATTTAACTTTGGGATCAAGAACAGCAGCTACAAATGCTGTTTGATCATAAATTTCATTAGTATATTTTTGAACTTTACTAGATATTTGAGTTGTAGCTATGTTAAGAAACTCTAAACTTGTTGAATCCTGAATATGAAGCGAAATATTATTAACAATATCATCCATTAATAGAATTGAAATTTCTAGAGTTGTATACGTGCTACCAAAAAGAATATTGATAATTTCGTAAAATGGTTGAAGAAATTGAGTTGTGTTTTGAAGATTGGCTTCTTCTTGTAGTATAAGTTTAAATTTTTTAAGACTTTTATTGTATCTAATAACAGCTGCAATTGTTGTAGACATAGATATATAGGCCGAAAGCATTAAGTACATACTATTCCACCAAGTTGAAACATTTTGTAGAATTTTACAAGTTGCTTTGCCTTCACCAACTGATTGTCCAAGTTCTTTAAAGTTCTGAGTAATGGTTGAAGAATTAGAAATAATATTAATAAAGTTACACACTTTTTCAATTGACAATTTAATAGATAATAAACCAGTTATAAAAATAAGGTTTAGAATATATGCTAGACAATGACAAGATTTAAAATGAAAATTATTTTCTAAAACCAAATTTTCCTTTAATAATTGCATTGCTAAGATTACATTAAAACCTCTGTTGGTAGTAATACAAAGAATTTTATCAGCAATATTAAAAGTTGTAAGTACAGAGCATAATCGTGCATCGATTTCTTCACCAGTATGTTGATGAGGGAGTATACAAATATCAAGCAAAATTTTTTTAAACTTCCACTTATCATCTACCCAATGGGCTGTGATACAAAGAAAAGATATGTTAGCACAAAAGGTTTAAATATTTAATGTAATTGATATTTTACTAGAAATTTGTTCAAAAATATATTGAATATCTTTTTGCATTATATTAAAGGCTCTTTGGATTATAAATTTTATAGTTTTCTGTGAGAGTAAGTTAATATTAATGTTAAAATATTGAAACATATTAGTAAATGATTGGCTTGAAACAATAGAAAAGGGTAAGATATCAGATATAACCCATTCAGCAATTAACATATTAAATTTGTTTTTTTGATCTAATGTTAAAACTTGTCTTGAAATTGTAGTTTCAGATATAAATAGAAGAAGCTGTTAACTTGGTGGCAGTTTGCTTGTATCCCAGTCTGCATGTTGAGTGTCAAGATATTTGTGCAAAGTACTAGTTATAGTAGTTTTGCTAAATAGATTTTTGCAAAAATAACAAATTACACTCTTATTGTTAGCTGTTTTTTGTAAAAAAAAAGATTTAACAGGAGAGGTACCAGGTTTGGATTTTCCTTTATCCAAAATAATAGAAATGCCAGATATAGTGTTACTACTTGTAGTAGCAATATTTGCAACTGCGTTGTTATCAGAAATATCTTGACTCTTAGAAAGGGAAGTACTGTATGTGTCTTTATAAAGGTTATTAATATCCATTATAATATTTGTAGAAATTGGCATTAATTTTAATCAACTATAAAATTGAGTAAGTATGTTTTTGAGCTTTTTTATATTTACTAATCATAGGTTAAAAATTTATACTAAAAATTATTCACTTCGAATTGGACTTCTTGAGGCTATACCTGTAGAGCACATAAGATTTTATTTTTTTTTAAAAAAAAATTCTAATTTTTTTTATCTTTTGTTTACTAATTGTATGATTATCCACTATTGGGTTATATTAGATAGATTAGCTAGCAATCAAGCCAGTTTAATATGACTTCTTAAGCAATTATCTTGTTTGAAGTGGCTTGGCTCCAAAGCTATAATTAGAGTTTCGAAGCCATGGCTGGCTTTGATTGTTAACTAAACTATTCCTGCATCCAAGTTAAACTTATTATAGAAGATTGCTTAGCAAACTGGTTGATAGTTATAGAATTTAACCAATTTCAAACAAATATGGCCTTGTTAAATGATAAAATTCAAATTTGCTTCAGCAAGCCGTTAAAATATAGAAAGAACATGTTATATAGCAAAGTTCAAATTGACAACAGATTTTAAGCAAACTAATTAGATACAATAATGATTGCTTGGCAAAGTTTTCATCATGTAGAATTAGACAAATAATTTTGTTTTTATAGTTTTTTTTTTTTATATAAGCAATAAAATTAAAAGAAATATTTTTTAGTTAAGAAGACCTCTTTGGCCTGAAAGCTTTTATTAGCAACTAGACAAAGTTTATGTGCAATTATAATGATAGTACATCAAGCCACACGTGCATTTTTGGTGCCTAATTTAAGTAGTCCGCCCAAAGTGGTAGTGCTATGCTAAGGGTTCTACACTATCTGCCATACCTGCACCCCAACTACAGGAGTACCCATTTAAACTATCTGGTTACAACTGCCTTTGACTACCCAACTAACTCCGGGCTTCCTCACCATTTATATATGGATTTTGGTATCGCTCTGGCAAAAGATTACTGACTGCCTTAGGACTTACTAACTATTTCTGGCTAATCTATTCTCGAGGTAAACCTAACAAAGCAGTATATGTCCCACATATATATTTACCTGCATGTTCCTATAACTTCTTTCTAATTAGTACATATTGGCCTGCCTTTCTGTATTTATATCTTATGCCACCTTTTGGGGTGCTGCTATTTTACGGATGTCAAATGGAATATTGATAATTGATTTTAACTTGGGTATTAAATATAAATTGTAAAATTTATTAAATGTATTGAGAAACAATTATATCATTTGCATTTACAAAGTGCATCTATCTAATGAATTTTATAAAGTAAAAATATTTAAATCGATGTTATTAAATTATTTACTAAATCATACACACAGTTAGAGATAAAAAATAGGTTAAAACGAAATATTTAAAAACATGTTCAATTTAAAACTATTTTTAAATAATTTAATACAGTCTGATGTAATAATATGTAACAATAAGATATTTTATTTTATTTATTATTATTTTTTTTTTTTGTTTGTAAATTGCTTATACGCTGTAAATCTTTATTAGTTAATATGGAACATATTACAATTAGG